CCCCCCCCATACGCGCCTGGTGAAGGTGCTATTTAATTTGCTAAGCTAGGTCATTTTTTTTCTTTTTCTTTTAACTTTGCAGACATAGCTCCCTTCCTACTAACCAGTCTCCTGTCAAGACAAGTGCTTACAAGATACAGACGGCTGAGGAAGTAAATGGTTTGGACTCGCAAGCACAGATGCGCCCCACTTCCCTCCCTGAGAAGCTTAATGGGCCGTGTTCCACATCGGAATCAAACCATCCATTTGAAACCCTTGTTGATGTACCTGATGCCTCAGGTGACAATTCAATTGAAAATGGTGCAAATGCAGCAACTCCAGAAGAAGTTCCTGGCAAGCTTGATCTGAAATTCCACCACACCCATCTGTGGTAATCAGATAATTTCAGCATAGAAGAAAATGCCCTTCACTTAATGCACGTAATATTTGGGAATCAGCCTGCTACAGAGCATACAAACGCAAGCACCTATAAGGGCAAAAGTTTTTTGTTCCATTTTATTTATTTTATTTATTTTTATTTATCTATGCTACATATTCACTCATTTACTCACATCCTCACCTACAGTATTTATATACCTCTCCTTAGTCAGACTCTCAGAAAATTCTTTCGCCATTCCAACTTTACTAAAGTTTGAAACTGTACAAATGAGTATGTATACCATGATATGTTATCATAGGTACCGGCCTTATCTTTTTTAGTAATCAAGCTCTACACATTTAGTTTATCTTTCAGATGTTAAGTTCATTCCTCATGCTCAATTTTACAGGTTTTTTCCCTCAATCTTTTTTTTTTTTTCTCCAATTGAGGTCCAGGTGTTAATGTGTTGGTATTTCTTTACGTTTCTTGGTTCTTGATCACATTCTATTGTTGTTGTACGGTACGTTCTACAATATTGTTGTTGTTGGAGCACTTATATCTATACGTGGCATCAGAACTGCTTTCTCTGTGATCTCCTGCCAGGACTACACGCTGTTCATCTGGCAATAAACTATAATTGTATCGCACATAGTGTTTCAGAATATTGTCACACACAGCTTCTTATTACTTTTATAAGGAGTGGTTCAGGCAACTTAAATTTCATTTGAGCTTGATGGGGTGAGGGTTTTTTGCATTTATCATTTGACCATGACTAATACATTCCCACTTAGTGATAAATGGGGAATTTTAAATGTTGTTAATAATGTGCCTTAGAGTAAGTTCTCTTAAGCTTTAAGTCACAATTGGGTGCTATTTATTTGCAGTATAACCACTGTAAGGGACTGCTTACACACTGTGTGCTAGTCTCATGCATGTGCATGTGTGTTCTAATTTGGCTAATCGTAGTGTAAATTCCTTCAAAATCATTGAGCGGCCCACAATAGCATTCTTATCCATAAATGACTGTTAAATTATCTGCTTACAAAGAAGGCTTGGGAAGATTTATGTGTGTTGTGAAGGGTCATTCCTTTTGTACTTTTATGGCGCGTTGCTATTTCAATATTTCTATGGAATGAACTTACTTTCCAGTAATATGCCGAAAGATTTGTTGTTTCTAGTCAGTTTTGAAGTTGCATCATGAATGTTTCTTTTTTTTGACTAAGGTCTTAAGAGTGCTTCATTTTCTCTGTTATAACATGTGTATACACATACTCGTGATGGTACTAGATTTCAGGGTGAACCTTCACAAACTACCATAAATTTGTGTTACCACTTCTTTGCTTTAAAACTTCTCTTAATCTGTTATGTTGTATGTAACTGGTATCCATGAGTCACATTGACATTGAAACTTTCAATTAATTGGCATCTTTTAAAAATGGGAATTCCTCTGCTTTACTTGTTTGTCTTACTTAAAGTGTACTGTTAGTACACATGGGTTGAACTTAAAAATGTTCCTATTCTTTTCTAATTTATTAACGTTACTTGTATCCTTGTGCTGGAGTGGCCAAAGTACTTAATCTTCACACAATTGTAAACATTGAAACCAAAGATCTAAAGTCACAGCCATTATGGTAGTTTTTGAGCTGCTTAACCAGAGAAGTCATTACCATTCAACTCAAATCAGACCAAAACCAAATTAGAAAATATAGGCTGTTTGTGAATATGTGGCTGTGACGTATTGATTGTTGCTGTGCTAAAGCTTATTATATAACTTTGTTTTATAAATGTTACTTATGGAAAAAATTCTTTTTGTGTGAAACGAGTCTCAACTCCCAAAGATTTTTTATACTGAAAAATCAGACTGTTATTCACTTCAAAATTGACATGTGTGATGATTTGTCGTTGAATTTCATGATCTGCATCAGGTTGTGGTATGCATCCCTCATAGTTGGGATGATGTGTGAATTCCCTCCCCAGTTGTATTTATTTCCATGACCAATGTTCTACAATTTTAACTGTTTGACCTACCTAAGAAATAAATTGGCATCAGTGTTGAGAATATTAAAGCAGTTTTAGCCAGTAACATTATGAACAAGATGGAATCTCGTTTTTGTTGGTTTCCTCTATGAATATGTGGTGGATTTGGACTTTTCAAATTTTATGGTACTGTTGTAGAATTATTATTTTTCTTTCTTTAGAACTTGATGTTACATTCCATTTTCAGAAAATCTTTGTGTGGTTCAAATTTGCTACTTGCTATAAATCTGTTTTCCTAAATGGAAAAACTGTTGTTCTTTGGTTTTACACTGTTCTTTGTATTTTCTACCTTCAAAAATAAAAGTTTTAACCAAAATTATCAGCTGTAATCAAACATAAAGAGCCAAGCATGAATTTCTACCCAGCCTTCTAATCAGTCTTTACTGCAATTACTCATCCTTCTGTCACAGCAAAATAAAATAATGTATTTGACTGGATCAAAGAACAACATTTTAACTTAATTTTAACATGTTCTCTCAAAATTAATAATTAAAACAAAAGCATAATGGTGGTGAGTGTAACATGCAATAGCGGTGTTTTCCCTTGTAGCATCAAGCATTCAGATACGTTCTGAGAATGTTCCTATGGTTCTCTGAAGGTTTTGTAAACGTTCTAAGAAAGATGTGTGCTGCAAGGGTCTTTTACTGGTTGTACTAGAAATCTGTTCACGCAAGTCCAACACTCTTTTTTTTCAGTGAATATTGCGATGAATGGTCCACCAACCACCAGAGTGTGCCACTTGCCCAATATGGCCATTATTGGTCATCTATTAGTGGGGTGAGTGTTTGATACCAACATGAGATGTTCTTCATTGTAGACACTTGTCTGATTTTCCTGTTTACAATTTCGTACAGCTTTTCAGTGAGGATCAAGATTCTCAAACAGATGGTGAGATGTACCAAAATGGCAACAGGTATGAAGACAAAGGCAAGCCTATAAATAACTTTATCTAATCTGTCTCAACATTTTGTGTGTAATGTGTGTTGTGCTACTTATCAGTTCTAAACATCGCGTGCGCAAAGTTTCAAATATTCCCATGGGAGAGGACGTTGTGGATGTGGATGAGGCTGAGCCTCCAAAATTGGTGAACTTTCTGTCTATCAGTAACCATTTATAATAAAGCTTAAAATTACCCACAATGTTAAACTTATTTTTTCATTTTCCAGAATTCCGACCAGAATGATCATCCTTTCCGAGTTGGGACTAATGGTTCTCGGGAGTAAGTAAACAAGCAATAGCTTTGCTTTATAAAGCAGGAAAAACAGTTTATTCATTCAAAAATATTTTGTTTTCCTGTCCTGTTGCAGTGTCCGGATCAAGAAAACAATGTTTCAAAATCTCAGTCCTTACAGAAAGTGAACAGCTATTGTTGTTGGAGAGGCATATAAACTTGCCTTTCCAGCAATATTAGGTAATTAAGAAATATTTCATCTAGCAAGACAGTTTAGGACTTGATTCGTCACAATTACATTTGATTAATTAATACTGTACCAACACAGATTTTTAAAAAATTATACTGAGTGCCCATTAATTTTTGAATTTAAATGAGCAATAACACTGCATGAGAATCATTATTTTCTAGTTTGTATTACTCTCTAAAGCAGCAAAAATAATTTTATAAAATAATTAAAAATGTATACTTGATGAAGATGAAAAGCTGTACCTGAGTTCAAGTCACTCCATTTTATATTATCCTTGAGTTAAATGATTGAAAAGGTATCTATCTTTAACAAAAGTAAATATATGTAATACACCGATCAAAATGCTTGTAAATGTTAATTCTTGGACTTCCAAAGTCCCTCTCCACGGAAAACGGCTGAAGATAAATATATAGAAGTTTTGACTAGGAGAGCAGGGAAGTTAAGGAAGTAAATTAAACAAAGGTTTAAAGCTTTAGGACAAGGCATAAAAGTTCATATTGACTGATCATAATATAAATATTCTTAGTTAATCTCAAACATTAGCGAAACAAAATTAACACAGCTTTGCTTTGTTAGAATCAAGCATATAAAATCTTCAGTGGCATAGACATTAGGTAAACTTCAAGTCAGTACAACACGTTTGTTTGTGTTTTATCACAAGACAGCCACAAATACTTTAGTCATCAGTTATCACACATGGTAATCTCCTCCATCTAATTTTTCATCAGTTATCAGTGAAAGAATCCACACACAGTGCTCTTGATTAAACCAAATGTAGCTAATAAATAAACTCTCTAGAATTCCAACTGCAATACCTGCAGTAACATCTAAGACATGATGCCTTCGTAGCAGCAATCTTGACAATGACACAGCTGCCGCCCATAAAATTAGAGGAAGTGCCAGTAAATCTGATACTCCATAAACACGGGCAAAAAAGTGGGCAATGTAGCATGCTCTGGTAGCATGTCCTGACGGGAAAGAGAATTTGTCGACACTGATAGTTGCAAACATATCATTCTGATTGGCTCGAGGTCTCCTTCGTCTTGTTATTGCTTTCAAGAGTGCTACTATCACAATATCAACAAGAAGTCCTGTAAAAGAAAAAAATAAGTAGCTTTATGTTTACTGATTTGAACAAAAGACAATAAACAGGTGGATGAAAACGAACCTAAGTAAAAATTAACTTGCATTTGGTACAGGGATGGACTGTTCCACAGCCAGATGAATGCTAGCCAGCCAGCTAACCATGGGATTCCATGACAAGATATCTAAAAGGTTCAGTAAACATTGTTAATAAATGTATACAATAAAAATCAGGCTTTTTATGTCATCTATGTATCGTATGGAACACACCTCTAAACCTTTGTAGTAGGTATGCCACTTTCGACCGACAACCTTCTCAAATATGTTACATATTTTGTCAGTAACTAACACATCTACTTGCAACAAAGCCTGGAGGGATTGAGGAATTTCCCTTTTATCACTGACATCACCACTCTTTTTACCCTGCAAAAAAAATAAATAAAAAAATCATAATAACAAAATGATTAACTTAACAGCAATTTTAAACATAGATACAATACAATCAAACATGACAAGGCAAGCAGGTTAAAAGGTCATCTAACACTTAATAAATAAATGCAAAAAAAATTAAAGAAACACTCAGATTAATACCCACCATTGCACAAGCTAAATGTGAAGACTGATCAGTCAACAAGTTTTCTTTGATGACATGTACTTTTGCCTAGTTGTCATCAATCACAAACTTTCTGTTATCAATCTGCTGGCAAGCTGGACTTTAGTACTTCAGTGACGGTTTCAGTTTCAGTCAATCTTTGCTGTTCCTCTGGCACTTGTCAGCGATTGCAGCGATACGTAAAGAACTTGCGCGAGGCTACCACTCCTGTATGAAAAACTGTGTTGTTGAGTTAGGGGGGGGGGAGGGGGGAGGGTACACGAAGGAAGGGAACTCCCCCACTTCCAGCCACCCCAGAATCGAATCATCTTACTGTTTCTAACGGCTGACATATCAGCTTGATTGGAAGAGTTTAGAAATCTATGGCACCTCTACAATAAATACCTCAACATTGTAAACAAATTTTTTATTTCTTGCACATATGACGCAACAGTTGTCGGTGCTGCTAGATTGAAATGTGTTCAAAAAGGAATAAACGAAGTTTGCAATATTTAGTACTTTAGTACAGCGCCCATCTTTAGTTGACTTGGCAAGTAATCAGCTTACATATCCCGGAAAAAAGTTTGGAACTACAATTAAGTTATGCCCTTAGTGTTTCCCGTAGGTGAGTATAGACCTTTTCACCCACAACTTGGCAACAACGCAAATCACTGTAGTTAAATTGTAATTTAGGAAAATTTTCAAAAAGTAATAACACCTGTCTCTAGTAAATTTTCCAAGGAATCCAGTGGTGATGAGTAATTTGGTTGACAGACACTCAAAATACGGTTTCTCTCAAGTATAAGATTCTACTTGCGGCGTTGCCACGTTGTGGGCGAAAAGGTCTATTATGTGTAAAAGACTGTACCAAGGTTCTACTATGGTTCAACAATAAATTAATTAAACTGAACTCAACTAAAAAAATGAAAGTTTTAATTATATCTCAGCATTATAAAATGCTGAGATACTGTTTGCTTTTATTACATTGCTTGCACTGAAAGCTCTTCTCTCATATTCAAGATCTGAAAAGAAAGGAAACAGAAACATTCATTTTGGAACCAAGATTTAAAACCAGCTTGTATTTATGCTGCTTAAAGTCTGTATAAACTCTCATTTGTTTCAACATGGATCGTCCAGATTGGTTCCTCTTTCTTCTCCCCTTTACTCCCACAAACCAATCTGGATGAATCACATCCAATCACATAATAATTTGGTTGATACTTACTCAATAGGTTCCTGTAACCGAAAACAGTCACTAACAATCTTCCACTTGTCGGCAGCTGCAGTTATTAGAAATGTCTGTTGGAACGGTTTTGTTTCGCCACTGCCAAAATGAACATGGCCAGCGGCCTGTATAAGTAATGTAAATTGCCCAGCCACAGCTTCTTCTGAAATATTAACAATAGATTTAAGTCTGTGAATCTTAAAGACAACCAAAACAACTGAATTCAGAGTACAAACCGAGTACAGGCTGACAGTCTAGAGATGTAACAGTGTGTTGGGATGAAGGTAGGGCTTCCAAAAACTTTTGGATTTGATCTTTACCGACAGATCCCGTTCCATTCCAAACAAGTACTGCTGTGTCAATATAATGCCTCGACAATTGCTAGACACAAACGAAATAAATTGTTAGCTGACATTAAGTAAGGTGGCAAGTGGAGAGAACTTGATTAACAAAAATAGAGTATACACTTAAAACTTACATGTCGCATACGATCTATACTTTCATAATATAACTTTGTGAATTCTTCTGCAACATTGCAAGCATTCCGTATCTTGTCCTTCAATTGCTATGAGGGAAAAAATTGAGCTATCAGCTAAAAAGTTTACAGAGAACCTGAAAAATAGACAACGAGATGCGTACCTCCTTGGCGATCATAATGGCTTCACAAAATAATACTCCAGCAAGGTAGAAACATCAAAGCATCAAAGGTCTGAAAAATTGGGTTGTGATTAATAGGAAAGTGACGTAAATGCACACGTAAAAAAATCAAAACTTGGGAAAACTTCAAAATGGAATCAGATTTTACTTTTTGGGGATACCTTAGGATTTGTTGTAACTTTTTTTCTTTAATGACCAGAAAGCCGAGCCGACGAATCGACGAATGGAGTTGGTTATGTGGTTATGTTTACATGCTCCGCGCTCCGCCCCCTTCTTTCTCTTTTTCTGATTTCTACTTAATATGAGAAATTCTTATACTGAAAGCTTTCTGCTACACAACATAGCGATGTGCGCTTTTCTAACCTCCATCCTTCAAAAAGCTACAGTTGTGTAACGTTGTTCCAAACGCATTTCGTCCTGCCACTCAGCTCCAATCGACCACAGTTGTTTTTCCGTTTCGTTTAATCGATTAGGAAACATGGCACTGTCTCTGTTAAGAACTGGAACTTTGGCGATTATGCGCCAAACCCCACAAACCCGATTGTTTGCGCCGGTTAGTGTGTGAAAATTTATCACAATGTCTTGTAAAAATGGAATGCTATTGAAATATGTTACTTTAGTTACAGCTTCAAAGATGTACTCCTTATCTGTTGAGGTTGATGAGCAATAAATCATCAGATCCAGAAAAACCAGTTAATGTCCAACTTCCGAAGAAAAAATCCAATTTGGCAGCTGACAAGACGCCAATATCTTGGAAAAATTTAGGAATTTCTGTTGTTGTATTTGGGATCTTGCTAAATGTGCTCTGGTACTTAAAAAAGTTGCGAAAGGAAGGTAATTATTGTTATCATCACATTGCACATTTGCACATTTGCGATAAATTTCAGATCTAATTTTTGCATTTGTTCTCAGAAATTGAGAAGAACAAAGTCCTATCTATTGGAAAAGCAGCAATAGGTGGAGATTTTGAGTTGGTAGACACTTCAAAGAAAGTGGTCAGCAACAAAGACTTTGCTGGCAAATGGGTTCTAATCTACTTCGGATTTACACATTGTCCAGACATTTGCCCAGAAGAGCTTGAAAAAATGGCATTAGTCGTAGATAATATTGGTCTGTAATCCTATTTCATATTTCTTTGAAATTTGCTACCCCTAATCATTCTTTTGGAGTTTAATTTCTTTTTTGTTTCTCCATTATTCTAGATAAGGAAAGATCTGCATCTGTATTCCAACCTCTATTTATAAGTGTTGATCCTGAGCGAGATACTCCAGAACTAATTGCAAAATACACTGCAGATTTTCATAAACGCCTTATGGGTCTTACAGGAACTGTTGATCAGATCAAAGATGTTTGCAAGAAGTATCGTATATATTACAGTGCAGGACCCAAGGAAGACGGTGATTACATTGTAAGTAGTCGTTTTATTTATTGCGGGTATCCTAAAACAAGATTCAAGTATATTATTAGTTCTATTTACTTCCCACATATAGGTGGACCATACAATCATCATGTACCTCTTGAACCCTAAGGGCGAGTTTCAGCAGTATTATGGACGAAATAAAACTGCTGCTGAAATAACCAAAGATGTACTTGTACGAATGGCCATGTACAAAGAATGATTAGGAAGTACCAAACTTGGTTTGCCATTTACTTACTCTTTATTGTAAATCCTGTTTTCCTAAGATTACAACAGGAAGTCACTAGCGTCTATTTGCTATCTAAATGTGATTTTATCTGCAAACCAGCATGAATAATGAAGAAAGTGTCTTATCTTAGTTTGTTACAAAAATAATAGCGCATAGTGTATGTATGTATAGTATAGGTAAATTTGACATGTTGACAAGTTCTGTAGCATTAATAATTGTTACCTCTTATCAATCTTTCAGTCAAATCTTTGCTGATACTTTTACTGAGTTACAAGTTTCAGTGTACAGACATGTAACATTTGCATTTTTGTTTTACATTATTCTTATAAGGTTTTGCATTAAATTATAATATGCCTGAGTTTAATTCTTCATGTGGTAGACACTTTAGCACTGATGAGACCCTGTAAGAGGAAAAATGGACTCATTGCAGACGTGTTTTAATGCACCTGTCTATTCTAAAAAATTCTCTAAAAAGTGACACCTAGTTTGGAGTAGTGCTGTTACATACCTATTTAATGTGAAAATGTGAATACCGACGCAGTATGAAGTTTTCTGTAATCCTCTTATTAGATCTTGGAAAAGACGAAGTCCATACTGCTTCTCTTTATTTATGTCTTGGATCTTTTTAAAATCTTGGTACATTCTTGCTGGAACGCTTATTTGGCATGTCGAGATGAATTTTTTAAAGCTGTCAAAGGACTGAAGGAGGCAGACACTAATGTTTATAAAAAGTCCTCTGTTGTCTTAAAGGATATAGCCAACTTATCGACTTACCTGTATTAAGTAAAGCCCAGGAATAATTGGGACCGTAACTCCCAGATTAAAACAGTGTTTTAAGTAAGTGTAATATTCATCCACAGAGGAAATCATTTGAGTAAGTATGAAATCAGCACCTTCATCAACCTGTATTTAGGTAGTATTAGTCAAAATTAAATTTCATGTAAGTATTTTCAAACCATTTAAAATGGGCACTGCCTTCTTTTTTAAGTATAGTAAATCCTGTTCCAGTGATGTTGCTTCTGGATGTCCTGTAGGGTACCCTGCTACGCCAATCTTGAATTTTGAGCCAAAAACCTGCTTTATAAAATGAACAAGGTCAGAGGCGTGGTGGAATTCTGCTTCGACATCTCTGACTTGATCTGTGGCGAAAAAAAGTAAA